TGTACGAGAGGGATACCCCCACAGAATATCCTGTTAAGTGGATTATGCCTCCGTACAGCAAAACCGGGTGTGAAGAAAATAGACTTTTACCTGTTATTTTCTCCCCTTGTCATTCGGTATTTTTTACATATGGATAGTTGTATATTGAATGGATTAGTTTGGTAGTTTCAAACTACCAAACACCGACCACCCTCCTGGATCATTTACTTCAAAGACAACTAGCTATTAAGTGCTCCCTGGGTGGCCGCTGTTCGTATAACCGAACGCCACGTGGAAAAGAAAACGGCGGCAAATCTTGCTCGCACGAGGAAAGCCAGCGGGACTTGGCCGTCGAGTGTATGGTACTAAAATCGGACACTCGACCTCACGAACTGCCACTGGAAACTACCCAACGCCGGCTTCTCATACTTCCCGAACAGCCAGGAGAGCCTCATTCGGTAGTTCTGTGCGAACGGACCAGGGGAGCAATCGCTACTATGGACCAGGAGAATCCATTTGTGATTTTTATTTGTTTTTTTTGTGAATTGACCTACCGCACACGCTGAATTCGTGGAACTGTTTTGGGCAGGGGCCGCGTGTGTGGTCAGTAAAAAGGACTCTCCACACTTTTTCAGAACCCCTGACCCGATCTGGGTGAAATTTGGATATGTTTGTCCCCCAGATCGGGGCTATCAGTGGATATGTAATTTGTGGGGCTACCTTGTGGGGAAAGGGGTGTTCTAAGTTTTGGGGAAATTGTGTGCTCTCTGCCTGGAGATAATTAGTTTATTCCTTAACTTATCTCAATATCTCCCAGGCAGGTGTGTAATACTGTAAATTTGTGTGATGATTGGATGTTGCTTTTGTTTGCTGTGGGAGGTCCTCTTGCAGGAGGATTTCTCATAAAAGTCTGTGTGTTTTTAATAAAGATCATTCCTGTTACACCCTCCACGAAGTCTAGGCTCATGTTTGGGGGATATTCTACTTGCTGGGAAGAAACACCTTGGAATTGCAGTTCATCTCTCTTATTCCTCTACTCCTTGCTGCAGCTATAATTACTCCTACTCAGCTGTGGGGATAGAGAATCAAGACCGCAGTACCATAACCACTGCAGGTCTTAACACCAGGCTTTTCACTTAAAAATACATAAATGACACATTATTCGGGCTATTGTACCGAATGACCTATAGGTAGATAGCTGGGATCTGAGCGCATACTACGGTAGATTACCTCTCAGATCCCAGCACAATCAGCCGAACGCCACATAAAATCCAGTTTAACATGAACTTTCAATAAAACACACGAATGCACATTTTGACGGAAAGTACCGAAAAACCGGTGTTCCCGATTGGTCTGGAAGTCCAGCGATGTTCGCTCCGTTGAGTAGATGATTTTAGGTCCACTCGACGACCGAACACCGCTGGGCTAAAAGTGAATCCAAGATGGGCACCGCCGCGTGGTCGGTATCCAAACGGCGGCCACCCTGCGAATCAATTAACTGGGGAACGCTACACTGTTGCAATCTATTAATGGGAGCCACATGACCTCCTTTTTTCCTTTTAAGGAAATTTTTTTTTTTTTATTTGTCATAAATCAACCATATACACAATATTAGGTCCTACCAAATTCTGATCAAAAGAAGCTGCAGGGCACCTCTACGTAACCTGCTAATTTAATGTTCTCACTGCTGTGCGTTAGGTAAGTCCACCATAATTTCCCATCAATACTTTATTGGACCTTTCAAGATTTCTACTCTTCGTGAGACCTGATATTATTTCATTTTTTGGACACATAGCTACGTGGTATGTCCTGTGCCTGTGTAATTAAATCTATTTGATACATATTTGCACTTGTCCATTGGCATGCTCACATTGCGAGATGATTGTAAAGAAGTTGTTACTTTGTAATTTCCCTGTTACAGAGGGAGCACACACTGAGAAATATTTCAACATTTACACAAAGCATGTCAAACTTGCGGAACACAATGCATTTATTTGCAGCCCATCTTCCCTGGGGCAACTTTGTGTGGGAGCCGGAATATGACATCATCAACATGGCTCCCAGCCTCACTCTGCGGCGCGCGAGGGAGCTGAGCAGTCAGCTCAGAGGAAGTGCTCCCTCGCCAGCAGCCCACCCAGTAGCCAGCCCGACCGGCAGCCACTGTACCACCAGGGAGAAAGAGGAACCCCCCCCAGCACTCCCAAAGGTAAGGAGGCTGGGGGGGGTTAAATTAAAAAAAAAAAAGTGTTAATGTGAGTGTGTGTGTGTGTTTGTGTGTGACTGTGTGTGTGTGTTTGCGACTGTGTGTGTGTGTGTGACTGTGTGTGTGTGTGTTTGTGACTGTGTGTGTGTGTCTCTGACTGTGTGTGTGTGTGTCTGTGTGTGTGTGACTGTGTGTGTCTGACACTGAGTGTGTGTGTGACTGTGTGTGTGTGTCTGACTGTGTGTGTGTTTGTGTGTGTGTCTGACTGTGTGTGTTTGTGTCTGACTGTGTGTGTGTGTGTGTGTTTGTGTGTGTCTGACTATGTGTGTCTGACTGTGTGTGTGTGTGTATTTAGAAGGTGGGGCAGGGGGGAAGGGTTGGGTGGAGGGGGGTGCCTGAGTTTTGTCCTGCCTAGGGCAGCACAAAACCAGGATACACCACTGGTTGTAGCTGTGACCAACCGCAATACAGAAAACATATTTCCTGTCTGATTCTTGTCTTCCCTCTCATGGCTGATCGCATGCTCCTTTCCCTCCTGTTCGCAGTGCCAGAGGAGTATCTGGCCTGCTTTAGCAGAGAAAAGCAGGGCTGGAACTGGTGGACGGGTGTCTCATCTTAAGGTAGGGGAAGAGGGACCTTCCTGTGTAGTGTGTTAAATTGGGGAAGGAGGCAGTGTGTTAAATTGGGGGAGAGAGTCGGCATTGTATTCATTTTAGGGAGGGGTCACTGTAATAATTTGGGGGGAGGGCAGTGTATTAAATTAGAGTGCTGGGAAGAGGGACAGTGTATTCAATTAGAACGGAGGGAGGGGGGGCAGTATATTAAATTAAGGGGTAATGTATTAGATTGGGTGGAGGGGGGGCAATGTATTGGATTTGTGGACAGTGTATTAGAATAGGGGGAGGGGTAATATATTGGATTTGGGTGCAATGTATTGGATTTGTGGGCAGTGTATTAGAATGGGGGGAGGATGCAGTCTATTAGATTGGGTCTGCATGGAGGCGCTGAACACTCACCATGGAGTTGCTGATTGGCTGCACAGCTTTTTGCCAAACATGCACAATAGCCTCCCAATGCTTTCCTATAGGTTTGATGATCACAGCCAAAATTAAGAAGATCCTGTTTTTTACAGCTGTGCAACAGCATACATTCACCATTTCAGTCCCTTTATCAAGCTTTTCTTAATATGTCGAGGCAGTTGGATTGAAACATTGGTTATTTGCAAATACATAGCTCCTTAAAATAAATCTGCTCTTTTGTTTACTTTAAAGTCATACGAGCGTGAGAATGCCCAGTGTCAGTTAGGCAACTTTTTTTATACTGTACTTTTCTAAATATACATATGTTTCTATGAAAACTGAAGGTTTATTTTTTTTGCGGCCCATATAAACTTAAATTTGTTTATTTGGCCCATGTTAGCCTTTGAGTTTGAAATGTTTGATTCACACAGTATCATTTGATATGTCACTATATGCCTGTGTGTTTGCAATAACTTGCTTTATGTAGATTTGCCAGTGTGCACTGACAGGCAATCACAAGTTCATAGCTCTTTCCTCCCTCAAGTGTTACTACTCCCGTGTCTGTCTCCCTCCAAGTCAACGGCACTACCATCACCCCTACTTTGCAGGCTCGCTGCCTGGGTGTTCTTTTTGACTCCAACCTCTTCTTCACCCCTCATGTCCAATCAATCGCCAAATCCTGTCGCTTCCATCTCAAAAACAAAGCGCACATCCGTTCCTATTTAACCCCGGATGGTCCATGCTCTTGTTCTCTCTCGCTTGACTACTGCAATACCCTTCTCAGTGGCCTTACATGTTCCCAGATTGCACCGCTGCAATCTATAATGAATGCGGCGGCGAGGCTCATTTTCCTGTACGCTCGCACCTCCCACGCCTCCCCGCTCTGTCAGGCCCTGCATTTGCCTCCAGTTAGATATAGGGCTCAAATTAAAATTCTGGTGCTTTCTTACAAGTCCCTACATAATGCTCCTCCAACCTACCTATCCTCCCTAATACACAAGTAGGTCCTGTCAAGACCCCTACACTCTGCCAAAGACCTGCGTATATACTCTGTTCGTAATCCCACCTCTAATATTCACCTCGAAGATTTCTCCAGGGCTGCACATCTTCTATAGAACTCCCTTCTCTTCTCCGACTTTCACCCAGTCTCCACTCATTCAACAAATCATTGAAAATTCAAGAAAGCATATCAATTAAACTGTTAGCAGGTTTTTATCCCCCACTCCCCATGACTCTCCTGCAACTGTCAAAAATTACCTACTAAGCCCTCAGTGAATACTTTTCTAACAACCTACTTCGTACCTCTATTTTTACCCTTTGTGTCACTATACCCCACTCCCTCTAGAATGTAAGCTCATTGAGCAGGGCCCTTCATCTATCTGTTCCTGTACGTCCAGTTGTCTGGTTACAATTACATGTCTGTTAGTCCACCCATTGTACAGCGCTACAGAATCTGATAGCGCTATATAAATAATAAAATAATAATATTAATATGACCGCGACTCAGTGTTCAGTTGCTATAGCAACAAGCAGAACCGCAAGCCATTAGTAGATAGGCTTTTTAGTTGGTAAGGGGAGCACGCTCATGCCTGGAGGCTAGGTACACACCAAGTTTTCAGTGTGTATGCCACTCAGAGTGGGTAGGTGAGTTCTGTGGGTAACTTGTTATGTTATTGTCCTGATGAAAGTTTTCTAAGTAAAACCAAAACATCAACATTTTATTGTGACAACAAGGAATACATGTTGTTTTATTTTTGTTTTTAATGACCCTAGAGTCCTATCTTTTTTGCTTTACTACTACTCCCATCAGGGAACATCATTGCTATAAAGGGGTGTGCGTGATCTTCCCTCGGAAAATGACACACTGAGCCAGCCTTTTGATCTTAAAGAAAACATGAATCATCAGACTAGGCAACCTTCTTCCTTTATGCCATAGTCCAGCTCTCATGCTCACATCCCCATTGAAGGTTATTTCGGTGGTGCACAGGAGTTATCATGGGCAATCTGACCGTTCTGAGACTATGTAGTCCCATGAGCAGCAAACTGCATTACACTGTGTGTTCTGACACCTTTCTTACATAGTCAGCATTAAGTTTTTCAACAATTTAAGCTACAGTAGCTCTTTTGTGTGATTGGACCAGATAGTCTTCACTCCCCACGTGGATTAATGAGCCTTGAGTACCCATAACCCTGATGCAGGTTCACCGGTTATCTTTCCTTGCACCACTTTTGGTAGAGCTAGGAGGTGGGCATTCAGAGTTAGTGTGTTTGGATTGGCTAGTTATCTGGGATATGCTGGCTGATACATATAGGGCAGCCATCTTAAAATGTCCCCATTCCAATGTTTTCTAACACACCTTGTTGTTGTCCCTCCCACCCTCTCTGATTTTGTGCTAGGTTTAAAGTTATCCTCTATCCTCTGGTTGCAGCGGCGAGGGACTGGATAGGTAAATTGGGGGGTGGAATGGGTTGTTATTAGGGATTTAATTAATTATGTGGTTTTAACAGTTGGTATGTGGTTGGTTTCGAGCTGGCCTGTGGCTCAGAACCTGGGGGTGCAGGGGTATGTCGGTATACCTCTACATTTGCTCATTTGGGCAAGTTGGTATGGTAGGTTTTGAGCTGGCCAATGGCTCAGAACCAAGTGGTGTAGTGGTATCTCGGTATACCCCTACATTTGCTCATTTCGGCAAGTTGGTATGGTAGGTTTTTGAACTAGCCTGTGGCTTAGAACCTGGGGGCATGGGGGTATCTCCATTTGCATTTTTTTGTGAGTGGCTCTGCGAGTCTATACCCACCATATCCCAAGTAAAAAATTTTAACTTGTGTTATTAAATAAATTGTCTGTGCTATTATTCAATTGGAGGTCCTGCACTTCTTTTTCATGCAGTATTATTGAACTGCTAGTGGATACATCTTTTGGAACGATCTTCAGTGTGGGGATATCCCCTCTCCAAAGGAGCTTTGCAAACCCAGAGCCAGGGGTGATATGGCTCTTGGACATTTTGAGTTTTTTCCCCTTAAACTTCTACAATTTCTTTCTTTTATGTTTATCCAGATTGCCTGCACTATTATTTGCTTTCCTTTATATTTACAGATTAATTTAGAGCGCTTTTTAAGTAATTATTGTATCTCGGGATACCCCTACATTGGATCATTCAGGTAAATTGTTTGCACTTTATTATTTTTCATGATGTTATTTATATTGTTATATTGTTATGGTGTTATGGTGTTAATATTGGGGTCATTGTAATTGTAATGTTGTGAGGGGTTAGTTATATACTGTGTCATAGGATTTGTTTGACAATGACTTTTTGTTAAAAAAAATTGATATTATATTAAAAGCTGTGGACAGAATTATACCCAAAGTATTGATGTCGGTGCATTATTGGGGGTTTTATTCTTAACGCCCCAGTGTATGATTATGCGCCTGTCAAGTTTGTTGTCTCAATTACTGTTCATAGTTAAGTTAGGTACCTGCAAACCGTTAGAAAAAAAGTGCAAGTTTTTACACAGGGCTAAACTTAAAAGCAGTACAACAATTATACTCAGCAACAGGCAAACAGTCCCTACCTCTGACTCACCACACTACACATCTGTCTAATCTGTAGTACCTTCTTCAGTTTATTGAAAAAAATAATAATTGGAGAATAGAGAAAAAAATCTTTAATCCCCAGTGTGTAAGATAAATAATGTCACCAGTTCCAGAACCTAGCTAACTAGCAAGTCCATGACTGCAACATTGGTCTAATTTTGCAGGAACTTGCCATTGTTTGGGTGGTATCTCAATAGCACTGCATGGTTATTGGTCCATGATTGGGGTCACAGGATTGGTCAATAAACAGGCTCACATATCATCGAGTTTGCCTCACTCTGCTCAAATTGTGTGCTGCAGACGTGATTAATTACATTGTATGTTGAGAAAATGATTCTCTGACATTCACAGAAGAGAGATTGTTCTTGTATCTGGCTGAAAACTGTAAATAACTGGAACCTTTATGTTTTTTAGTGTATTATGAGGTTTTGCAAATAGATTAACCATACACCATAATGTAGCAAGGTCACTATGTTCCAGTGTAATAGCTATGTCAACTTGGTTGTGTAAATAAATAGTATTGTTAAAGCCAAGCTTTATTGATGTCAAATAATAAATATGTACAAGTGAGCATTTATTAAAATTATATATTTTTAAAAATATTATGATTAGCACTTATGTAGTAGCAGGGGGTAGACAGCCTAAGGAATGAAAATGAACCAAGACGACTTTAAGATTGTCTAAAGAAATATGTGTGAGGGAAAAACTGATGTGTAGATGCATGCTGTTCAATGGAAATGCAGCTGCCTGGAGGTGAAAATTAGTAATACGGTTATGAACAGGGGACACAAGATCAGATGTTACCTAGACAAGTTTTTGTTAGTGAATACATGGGGTAGAGTTGTTAGGAGCCTTGTATATGAGTGGCATCTTGAGTTGAATGCTAAAAGGTACAGAAAGCCAACATTCAATTAATTGCTATATACCAGAGAATCAAATATATCTTATAAAATACTCCAGATAGTAAAAAGCCTTTTGTTGTAAATTTGCCAGACTCTAGTATATTGTTTCCATTATATTGTATAGGGTAATTAAAATTATTGAATTTGATCCTTTGTGCTATTGTCATTTGTGCATTTGTTATCTCTGCATCAGTATAGCTTAGTTTATGAATAGCATCGCATTGGTAATTCTTCTTGAGTATACAAGTAAACTTGTAGAGTTTACTTGTTTTTTTTTATCAATAGGTTGTTTTATATTTCCACACTCATTTAATTCTCTGCCTTGCATTGTTATGTTTGTTTTGATTTCATGAAACTTCACAGTAAATGCCTAGTGATGTAAACCCCTCTGTTATCCATTCATGTCATGTTGTAAATTCTATTTAATATTGAGCTTAGTGTTCTTTTGTCTGTGCATTATTAATTAGATATGTTTTTCATATATTTCTTTCTGTCACACTGACACGACAATTTTGGTTCTTAAACCCCCATCCCACCCAGCAAATACAAATTCCTTAGTTCTCTCTTAAAGCAAAATTTGTCTACATTCACAAACTCTCGTCAAACATAGAAATGTTTTATTAAAGCTCTCCACTGGATTTCTCACTCCAGATGAAATGTTAAGAGATACACGGTAAAAGTATGTATTGGCAAGTTTTGAAAACAATATGACGAAATGAAGGCTTATTAAAAAAAATCTTGCTGGTTTATTGCCTTGTACAAATTACTATTACTGTTCCCATGTGGAGAAAGGTTTGCATTTCATGTTGCCTCATTCATAAAATAATTTTGAGATATCGATCAATATTCCTGTGGGAGCCATTTGGAGCCAAAGTGATGTGTCCATAGAAAAACAAAACTACATCTATTCCCCTTTCACGCAGCGTACATGGAGTTTTAGATTCCTAGGTGCCTGAGGAAACAAAGTGCATCTCAGTGTTGGCATTGGCATTTGCTACAGTTGTGCTTCCCACTCTTTGCTTGAAAAGAAAGGGAAAGACTTTGTTGAAGGCTTTACGGAAATTGGCACCCATAAAGGCATAAACAATAGGGTTGACAGAGGAGTTGGTGTAGGACATACAGTGGGCCCAAATCTTCACCTTGTAGGTATAGTAGTCACGTCTAAAGGTGGGGCTGAATGCTTGGAAAAGAATGTAGAGCTGTATTGGACCCCAGCAAAAGGTGAAAAGCAGGACAACGACTGCTACCATGCGGGAAATCTTTGTGCGCATCACCTCAGATCGCTCAGCCAGAAGCTGTACCTAGACCAAACAAAAAAGAGTATTATTGAATTTGCTGGGTAGAGAATACAAAGAAGCCTGATCTATATAGAAATACCCTAGGCACAACACATGCAACTGTGAGTCAGATATGCAATATTATAGACATAATCATGCACAATACCTTGCATCTTGCCAAGTGTGTTATGTGTCGAAAAATAAACTAAAACAACCCATGTGTAGCTACCCAATAACCCCTCGTCTCCCATCAGTGATCTGAAGTATTAAGAATAAGAAATTTTTGGTTCTTCTAAAACACTTTGATAGATTTTTATTTCTGAGGGGGTGGGGGCAGAATTTAGTTGTTGTTTGGCTCGGCCAAATTTCAATACAGAAATAAATTCAGGAGAGCCAATCGGACAGCCAGAACAGCAGAAGAAAATGGGACTGTGACAGTGTTGGCATGCAAAAATGGCTGCAATATTGCCTGGTCTTTCCCACCCATCCAGTCTGTAGCATTAGTGACCATTCTTCTGTTTTTTGTACTTAAAAGCTGTGCCGTAGTGGCAGTTGGAGTCATTTAAGTGGATAAAAGGTGTTTTTTCATCAAATTAAAGGGTGGAACGGGTGAGTAGGTCATCACTTGCCAACTCTTTTCTTAATTACATTAAAAGAAGAAAAAAATCCCCCGTTTTTAAATCAAATGACTCTTGCTGCAGCTGCTCCCAATTTTTCCAATACCTTTCATTGAAGTGGTATTGTCCAGTCTGCTTGAGTTTTGCAGCACCTGCTACCCCCACAGACGCAGTTGGTTGTTACATAGTTACATAGCTGAAAAGAGACTTGCGTCCATCAAGTTCAGCCTTCCTCACATTTGTGTTTTTCGTCACACTGAAAGATAGTCAATCATGCAACAGACTGTTTGCGTGGTAAATCTTTGTTCTTCTTAGGGCAGAAAGTGTGATAAGTGGCCGTCCTTCAGTGTGGAAAAAAGCAGTGCCCTATTGGTTTCTCTCAACTACATTTGAGGGGGAAACAAACACTGCAGAACTCATTCAGGCATTCAATGAAATAGAAGCTACACAACCACCAACACATTTTAAAATCTTTTGTTCTACAAAGAGTAAAAAAAAGACCTGCCACATTAAGTGTAGGCTGGATTCACTTGTGCAGTAAACTGCAGCTACACACTGAATATTACTGAGGGAAGAGGCATGCCATTTCCAAAGCACGAGCAGAGACACAGAGGCAAACTGAAATCAAATAATT